CCCCCCACCTCCTCCCCCAGGCCATGCTGGTGCCCCTAACTCCTGACTTGCAGTGCCTAGGTGCTGCCAGTGCCACTTGCTCCTGACCTGCAGCCCCCTGGTGCCCTTCACTCCCAAGCCATAGGCCCCCCAGCTCTGCCAGTGCCCCTCAATCCTGACCCACAGCCCCCTGGCTCCCTGCTGGAGGGGGCCCCAGTGCAGTAGCTCTTACCCATGAGGGCGGTGGCAGAGTGAGTCTGGCCCTGGCGCAGGCTGGAAGGAGGCTCCTGCACCATGCCAGAGGGCCTTGGGTATGCCCCCCCCCGGCAGCATCTCCCAGTTGCCCCACTCCTGCCCAAGAGCACGGACACCAGCCCCACCCCCTTCCCCCACTGGAGAGGAAGGTGCCTCCCCCCTCATCCCGCTGCAGCCCCGGCATGCAGACTGCTTCCCCCAGCACCAGCAGGTGGGTGTACACACACTTCACAAGCCCTGGCCCTCCACCCCCCACAGACTTACCTATATCCAGCTGCCAAGGCTGCCCCCTACACCCTGCCTGGCTGCATGCCAGCCACATGCGTGTCCATGTGCACATGCACGTGATATCCCCTGCCTCCAATCACCCTCCCCCTGCTCCTACCTGTGGAGCAGAGAAAAATCCCAGACATTTGTTCAAATAAAATAAAAACAAACAAACCACTTGGGCGAAGAACAGAGGACCCAAAAAGAGGACATGTCCAGGAAAACCCAGATACATGGTAACCCTACCTAAGCTCAATTAAAAAAAACCCAATGAATGGATAAATGAAAAGTGACTGTGATTAGGTAGTCTGTGGTGTGCTGCACAAAATTTGCTGGAGAAGCAAGCACAGGCAGTACCTGAAGATACACTATATCCATGTTAATTAACATCTCCACTCTCTGGCAAAGGTCATATATCCTGATGAAAGGTCCTCCCCACCTTTCCAAAAGGGGAATTTGAAAATAGAACATGGGAAATTTAATACACTCTTGTAAAACCCTGAAAAAAAAAATCTTCCCAATCCAAGCCTCCCCCCTTTTATCTCAGAAGAAAAGTAAGAGAACATTAATAATGTCTCATTCAGAAGAAATTAAAGTTAAGCCTTTCTTCGCAGTTTGGTCACTTACTCCTGTAAGCCACATTTAAAACAAAGCAACGCTCTCGTAATATGTAACATAGCAGAACACAGGATTGGGACTATTAAACCGGGTACCATGATTCCCTTTCCTTTCTACTATGCAAGTTATTTGCACTCTTAATTAAATTCCTATGTTTATATGCAGGGAATATCAGGAGTTTTCAAACTTCCTCTTTATGCCCTCATAACAGGTCACTTCCATTTATACCAATTTCAGAAACAGGTTAGAACAGCTAGAATATAACTATGCCAGCAAAAAATGGAATACATTGGTAGGTTAAAAATTCCCTATAAAAGAAAACAGTAGCAATACAGATGTAGTTTGGTACTAATCACAGAAAAAAAGAAGAATGAAGATGGACAAAAGTACAGACACGGTTTGACAAGATGGATTGCGTATCTTCAGTTTTACGGAGCAAGGTTATGGGCTTTTTACAGATCAGCCTTCTGGAATGGGAACAGCAGAATTTGAATTGGCTGTTTGTTTAACTATCTTCTCAGAGGATGTATGTGACCTGCTGGCATATTGTGGTGCTTTATTTTTTTATGACCATTTCTCATCTTCAATAGGCCATTCCCTGCTGTCCCCCAAAAGTAATTTCAAGAATGAGGCTAGAACTAGCAATATCATCATGAGAGCAAGGCAAAACAAAACGGTTGTTTAAAGTCGAGATGACAGCCTGTTTAATAGCCATCATAAATGCTGTTGAAAAACAAGATGTCTTACAAGATTTTTGCTATCTCCAGAAAAGGCTGAAAATATTTTCAGCATTAAGTGTTTTTGATTTGACTGAAATGAACAAAATTGAAAAGAGGCCTAAAAATGAGACTAGATGTAAAGCAGTTGCAAGAAACAAGAGAGCCTTAAAGCGCATGGCCCTTACAGACCTCATTCTGATATTCAGAAATAAAGCCCCGTTTCTCCCCCAAGTCAATCCTGAGTTAGGAACTATATTGTTCCTTCTCCATACATCATCTCCAATTTAATCCTGAGAGATTTCTCCATTTAGCCATGGGGGTGAAATGCAAAACGAGTTCCTTAAAAGGGGTATTCCTTAACTTGGTTGTGTCAACATGACCAACCTCTTTTCCTATCTGGAATAATATAGAAAAGACAGCTGACTCTCTCAAGTAGCTTCAAAAAGCTGGGATACTAAAAATACTAGTAAAAAAAAAAATACTATAAAAAAATCCCACAACTCTGCTACTGCCACTCATTTCAATATCCTAGTAATACTTTGCCAAAAAACAAACAAAAAACCCCAACAATAATTACTTTTAAGAACAATGTTACTCAAACATTTTCCTTTATTTTTTGTTGATATGTCCTAAATGAGCAAAACATAATACAGTGTGTATCGTTATGTGTATTCTAGGGAACAGTGACCAACAGTGGCTCCAGGTCCAGAATTTAATTAGGGACACCTGGAAGCGTGTCCCTAATTATTCCTCATTATTTTGCTGAGACTGCTCATGTTAAGTTCTATTGCTTTGAAGCTACCTACTGCAATATGCATTATACTGTGTGGAACAACCAAGCAGCTGGATGACAAATCTCTCAGATACTCTGTTAGATTAGCAGCTGTCTGTGATATACAGAATTAAGAAATTCATGTTAGACATTGACTGACCTCTTGTTTCTCTCTCTGATGTGGCTGACCTAATAATCATCTTACCACCGAGGCACACTTAGGAGGTAATCTGAGCTAAAACAAAACAAAAATGCTTGCAGCAGAAATTCACATCTGCCAGATGACCAGATAGCCTACCAATCAGTAGGGGAGAACACAAATGAGTTTGACACAGGTCGTCTTTGGTTTCGGGTTCACTACATATTCTTCAAAACAGAATTTCTGAACGTCAAACTTTATAAGGAATTTTGCAATGCAGGAAACCAGCATAATCAATGCAATAAAGCATCTTACAAAATGAGACAGCCCTGTAGCTTAAAAGAAAACTCAATACCGTATAATGACTTACCTTTGCCTTCTGCAGGGGAGCCATGCGACAACACAGCACTGCAGAACAGTTTTTACAAACTTCCATGAACAGTTTCTCATGTTCCCTGAGTGCAAGAGAGAGGCTGGTCCCATCCACAACCAGCCCATGCTGGATTACATGGTCATCTTTTATTCTGTTGAGAGAGAAAATGTTATTTTTGCACAGACTATAACTTATCATAGTTCAGTTACAAATTAAGCAGTTTAATATTATAGAATTGCAACAAACTGAACAATAAATTAAAAGCAAGAAGATCTGTCAAGACTTCAAAAGCAACTAGCTTATGAATGCCAGAATAGCTTTATGCACGATGTGTAAATAAAAAAAGCGACTGGCATCAAACTTGGCAAAGAAAATACTAGAACTAGTAACATCATTCAGAGAGCCATACATGATACTTTACCTCCTGGCTAGCTGCCTCAGTTGCTCAGCACATGTACTGTCCGATTTGTGCTGTACAAGTTCAAGGATGTTCATGGTTCTATGAAAGTGTCCACATGATAAACTCACACTCACAGCTGTTTCATGTTTATCTCCAGTGAGCACCCACACTTTGATACCAGCCAGTCTGAGGGCTTCTATAGTTTCTTGGACTTTTTCTTGGAGTCTGAAAGTAAGAAAAATATCTACTAATTCATAGAACTGTCTATATAGAGAGCCTTCATTATGACTGAATTTAATGCAGTCATTAATACCTTTTAATTATGCTAAAAGGTAAACAAATTTATGCACTACTGTGGTGAAGCAGGATATTTTATATATAACTGGATTACTTGGATTAAATAGGAACATTCCTAAAACTTTCAATAAAATGTACTTAGTCTAATCAAACAATCAGCACAAAATGTAACCCTGATAACTGAAACTTTTGGTAGCAATATCTTATTTAAAACTCAAATATTATGAATACACTTAAGAAGCATTTTGCTTCCTATGCCAGCAATTTAAGGTCAGAGATTACTATGAAAATCAGAAGATGTTAACATTAACATTGTTTGCACACAGATTCCTTATATTATTCCAGTGGATTAAAAATACACTATAGTAAAGAGAATAGTCTCAAAAGTGATTACTCTTCAAAGTTTTTCCCTAGGAGGTATCTGGAAGCCCTGAAAATGCAGGGAAGTCAGTCAGATTGTGTTCGGTGTCCTTTACAAGACACGATTCTAAACAGTCATCTAAAAAGCCTCACAGCATACAATTGTGCAAGTACACACACATACACACTTGACAAAGCACAACATTTTTGCTGGTAGTCACCACAAAAAGCATTTAGTATATTAAAAAGATATTGATGTACAGATAAATACACATCCAGATCAAATGAACTTTTGGATAATTTTTATAGGTTACACAAAAAGAGACCTGAACCTGCTTTGTTTTTGGAGTAACAAAAGGTCCAGTACATACCTGTCCTCTACTCCTGTAGCCCCAAGTAACTCCAGATCTGTCTCTATAAAACTGAATACATCTGCTAGTTGTTCTTCTCGTTGCTGTAAGGCAGTTCTGGCCTTGTGAAGGCGTTTGTCTATTTCCTGATACTCCTCAGCTGTGAATCTTCTATAAGCTATGCATAAAGTTCTGAGCCCCTTCTGTTATTTGATAAAAAATAGGAGAGCACAGCATGTTTCCTTCACGAAAAGAAAATTGTGAGGTTTATTATGCATATATATTGCTTTAGGACACGGGTGTCAAACACAGCGTGTGGGCTGGATCTAGCGTATGGAGCTGCTTTATCCAGCCAACTGGGCTACCAGCAAGCCACTGGAAGTTGGGGGGCATGGCCCGCTGCAAAAGTCAAGACCCATTGGCCCCATTGACTGTGGTCGTTGGCAGCAAGCCAAGTTTGCGACTGGGCACCCCTGGACTCTTCCCATTACTGGTGGACCCCTGCCCCTGGACCTCTTGCCAACTCCAGATCCCTTGCTGCCACTGCTACTGGACCCCTTTTTGCCCCTGGCCCCTTTTCCACCTCCAGAGCTCCACAGTCCAGATTCAGCCCAGGACCTCAAATGAGTTTGACACTCTTGGTAATACGGAAGGTAGTAAAACCAGGCAGAATTACAAATACAACCTGAATATCTTATTCATATGCATGAGAAGGACACCTTTAAAACGTGCCAGTTTCATTAGGTAATGGAGATATTACACTACTACTATTACTGAGCTGATGTTTGTATAAGTTTTAAGAAGATGCATAACACCATATGAAAATCAAAAACACCTCTGTCTGCCACACAGACTTTATAACTGACACTGAGGAGAGAAGAAAAATTTGAAAACCTAGAAAATGGAGAAGGAATGTATTACGACTTTGCACGTGCCAAGAGGCCACATGTCAACTAGTCACAGTGTTAGAGACTATACAATTATCTATACTTGTGAGGATATAGCTTTTGGGTTGCATTAATATAGTACTAAAGCATTTGACTACGGTAGAATTGTCTTTCTGAAAGGATGGGTGCAGATTTGTAGCCAGTTCCAGTTTTGCAGCTAACACTACAGGCAAGAGTCAAGTATTTCTGAGAATAGTAGGATGCAGAATATAGTTTATTTTGATGCCTTAGGCATATATAACTTCAACTGAAGATCTCAGGGTGGCAGAAGGCCTTTCAAAGTGCCTCTTATCCCCAGTAAAAATAACCTTAGTTTCTGCCTGAGTTTAGCTTCAGCCCAATCCTCCTTATCCAAGCCTCTATAAAGATGAGTGATTGTGGTGTTGATTAAATAAGAACAGAAGTGAGTATCAGCAAATCGGCATCTGAATTATTCATAGAGCCTCAGAGTTTCTCTCAGTGTAAAGGTTCTTTTCACTCCTGACCAATAGTCCCAAGGTAAGTATCTTAAATTAACCTGAGGCTTTAAAATAGTTTTGCACAAAATAAAACATTTGAAGGCTTTGTGAGGTTGAAGTTTTAAAGGAAACAAAGGAAGTGGCCAGAGCATTCCTTCTGTGTGTTAAAAGACAGCAGCCAAAAAAGGACTGAATCGTTTCCCGAAAGGCTTGGTTAGCAGTGATGGCTTATTATGCAAATGAAAAATTTGAATCTGAATAATTTTGAAGCTGCTGTATTTTCTCGCATACCACATGCCCTGTTGTTTTTAGAAGGAAGAAGATTGAAAGAAAGATTTTTCCAGAGTCATGGCTAACTGTCACAAAGTAAGTCCTCCTGGAAATGGTGTGTCCAGGAAGTGTGGTGCCCCAAAAGGCAGTCTGGCTGAAGCAGCAGAAACTTCCTGGTGGGGCAGGACAACACCAAGGCTAGATAGACTCCAGAGGGTTATCACAGGACTATGCCCCTTCTGCTAACTGAGACCACTGAAGTGGCAACCATTTGGGGAGGGCAGCAGATCAGTGTCTGCAGCTTCTATTCTTCCCTGCTTAAGAAACACAACACAGTTACAGAGGGCTGATTTGGGGGAGGTGGAATGGGAAGAGTCTGTGTGGCACAAGAGTAAATACAGTATCTTTTCATTTCCTTTAACGTGCTTTATAGATTTTTGAGAAAAGGAAAAAAAAGAAAAGAAACCACATTAGAACTCAGACTGTGCCTCATAAACCCAGGCTGCTTACAGACATGGAACCCCCCACCCTGTGCTTTATTTTCAGCTCAGTGCATCCCTACACTGAGTGCACTGCATGCTCAGAAAATGTATTGCGTTAGTTTGACCTGGCTCGCCCAAAGTCTGTATGGATCGGGTGCTTCAGCAGGGCTTTTATCCAATAGTTGATTCAATCAGGTATTAGATAAGTGTCAAAAAGCCCTGCTGATGACACATTTCCTCTTCCGGTAAAGAGCTGGCTTCCCCCCCCAACTGTCAGTGCCCCCAGTGTCCTTCTACACAGAAATCAGAGGCTTGATACCACCTATCACATCACTTTTTCACAGACCTCTATTACTACATTCTGAGGATTTGCACCAGGACCAAGATCCACCAGATCCAGATCTTGAATGTTTGCACTTACCAAAGCAAATTCATCCACGTGTAACCTCGTTTTATCTATTTCTCCACTCCTACTGTGAGGAAGGATGGAAGATTCTGCTCCTTTTGTGAATAAGAGCTTGTCTCCTGAAACAAACAAACGAACCGAGAATAAAAAAATTAAGACTATGCAACAGTTATCAGTTGACTGCAACTTTAAATGAATTTCAAGTGCTTACCTGAAGGACTCTCCACAATGACACTCATTCGTCTACGATTTGGGTCAAACTCCAGAACATGAAGTAATTTATACCTTATTAAAAATAAATAAAAAAAATATTTTCTTAATAACAAATGCCTGTAGGAAATTACTGAATTTACTCATGTAAGATGATCCTGACTATAAAACAGTTCCCCCCACCAATAAATACATTCTATACATGGAAAATTCATAAAAGTTATCACTTTCCAGGTACAGAATCTAATTATTGGAAGTTTGCCTTGGGTTTGTCCCCCTTCCGCTGCAAATAAGTCTTAAGGGCCAAGTGACCCCCTTGCCCTCTGCCCCCATAACATCTTCCCCCTGCAGCCCCTTCCCTTGCCCCCTTACTGTCAAACCTTGCTCCCCCTGAGCACATGGAAGCAAGGAGCAAATCTGAAAACACTAACTTTGAAATAAACTTTCCTACAGTAATTTAGTTCATCCTGCATTGATGCATTTTACCTTTTTTTTTTTTTTTTTTTTTTAAAA